ATGAAAATGACAAAAGTCCATGCAGTTTCCTCCAAACTTCAATGAATGTGGAATTCTTCTCTAAACGATAAAGGATTAAAGTGAAATTTGAACAAAAGTTTGAAGGTTAAAAATATAATTTATTATAAAATTTAACAAAAGCTAATTTGGATATTTCTTATCTGTTACCTCTCTCTTCTTCTTCTTCTCTATAGATACGGCTGAGTAAGGAATTTGAAAAATTCACAATTTGAACCGGTCCAGTCCAATCCTGTTGGTTTGGATTGGTTTTTTGAATCCCTGGTTTGGTTCTAAATTGGAAAATTAGGAATCTATTCTCTGCAGATTGATTCCGAATTAGAGTTCACGGTTCCAGATTGGAACTAATCTAGACTGTATGTAACTTAAACCATATAAAAAAGGGAGTAAGACTGCTTCATGTGTTAAATATAGCCACTGTAAAGCTTCTTGTGCTTGGGTTAGTGCAAATGGAGCTAGTACATTGAGAAAACATTTTGCAAACTATCCTAAGTCTCCTCAAAATCAAGAGAAGAAAAGACAAAATATTTGTTTAATGAGAGTTTTATACTTGCTACATGTTGAACAATATGTTTATGTACTAGATAATATATTTGTTTACGTTAATTGTGAAACAATATGCATATTTATGTGATTTTTCTTTGTGAACATATTATATGAAACTGTGGTTCCAAACCTAGCTGAATCGTATTTAAATGGTTTGGTTCGGATTGGTTTGGTTCCAATTTTTATGGAATCATAGACAATCGATTGATCATGGTTTTACTTTAAATCGAACCAATCCAGACCATACTCACACCCTATCTATAGACTAAAGAAGAAAGGCCAAATTACACTTTACTCCTCTCAACTATCACCATTTTTCATTTTACCCCATTAAACTAAAAATTGATATAATGTACTCCCTTCATCTTTTAAAAGTTTTCAATGTGTATGTAATATGCACATGGCATATCTATGACGAAAATAAACTTTTAAAAAATCTGTTATAAATATGATATGCACACATTATATGCACATTGTCTATCAATTTTGTTATTAGAATGGAGACATAAGAGTTTGATTGAAAGTTTTTTAAAAAATGAAGAATATACGTTGTATTAATTTTTAATTTAAGAGAATAAAGTAAAAAACGATAATGGTTAAAGACGGTAAAATATAATTTGTCCAAGAAGAAATCGTGCGGCAAACTTAGAGTAAAAACATTTCGGGTGATGATTGAGACCCTCTCTAATCACCACCCCCACTATTCCCACCATCCCCATACACACGTGGAAGGTAGTGATTGGAGGAGAAGAAGAAAAAAAAAATGACCAATCAGGTGAAGAGGGAATAAGGGATGAAAAAAAAAAGAGTCCAAGTGATTATTGAAACATTTCACCCAAAAAAAATCCAATCAAATATGATAAAAGTGCATCCCCACTGCATCAAAGTCAAATGCAACTTGGAAAAATGAAACCCAATGTAGTTTCCTCGAAACTCCAATAAAAGTGCATCCCCATTGCATCAAAAGTCAGATGCAACTTGGAAAAATGAAACCCAATGTAGTTTCCTCGAAACTCCAATAAAAGTGCATCCCCATTGCATCAAAAGTCAGATGCAACTTGGAAAAATGAAACCCAATGTAGTTTCCTCGAAACTCCAATAAAAGTGCATCCCCATTGCATCAAAAGTCAGATGCAACTTGGAAAAATGAAACCCAATGTAGTTTCTTTGAAACTTCAAATATCATGGAATTTAACTGTAAAGATATCTCATTATCCTATGTTTCCTCCTATTTTGAGAATTCTTTTAGGCAGTGCCTAAGCATTTTCAAATTTAATATAGCACAATTGATGTGATTTAAAAAATATATATATATTAAATATATATTAAAAATAAATTATATAAAATTTATTTAATTCTGACTGAATTTATGACTACTATATAAGTATCAATATATATTATTATAAACTCATCACCATCACCATTACTACCACTACCACTAATCAATATATATTATTATAAACTCACTGCCATCACCATTACTACCACTACCACTACCATCATGTTATTGCCACCACCATTGCTACCACCGCCACCACCATACTGTCGCCGCCACCATTGTCATACCGCCACTACCACCACCAACTTCATTACCATTGTTATTGTTGCCACCCGACCATCATTTTACTATCACTATCATTGCTACCGCCATCATCAATGCTATCGCTACCGCCATCATACCATCAACATTACCACTAATACCACCATCACAATATAAAATTTGAAATATACAATTCGAAAATAATAAATTTCAAATTTAATTTTATACATATCAAATAACTTATTTTTAATTCAGCTCAATTTTTATCAAACAATTTTTTAATGTAACAATTCATCATTCAGTTTTCAATACCTATTTTTTAGACTTTAGTTTTTAATTTTCAACTTTATCAGTTCAACAGTTAAAACTAAATGTATTAAGTGATAATCAATTAAGTCCGTTTGATAACTACAGTTGATATTACTTAAAAATTTAACTGACTCTTAAAATGTAGGCCAAAACTTAAGAAAAATTTTAAATCATATGAAACTTGCTTAATTCTGACTGAATTTATAAATATTAAATATAAATAATGATATATATTATAAAAAAAATATAAAAGACAAGAATATATATACACTTCTTTCTAGAGCTTAAACTAAAATATTCGTTAAAAATTATATTTATTTTACTATTGAATTTTGTTAACGTTCTAAATTTCAATAATAAATAAAAGAATTTAAATAATTTAATATTGATTCATATTTAAATAATTTAATATTGATTCAAGATGAAAAATAAAAGTTTAAAAGTTTAGATTATTTTGAAGAGATCTAATGGCTATCAATTTGGGTGCACGAGCACCTTCAATCATTCATTTTTTCTTTCATTAAATTTAAATTTAATAAAAAGTACTCAAAAATTATCTAATCTTTTCATGTAATGTTCATCATCATTTAAAAAAAAAAAAAAAAAAAATAATGTTCATCATCATTTTTTAAAAAAAATCAAATCGAGAACTATCCAATCTTTCATCAAATTTAAATTTAATAAAAATTTAAAAAGATAAAGCTTTGGAAATAATTAAAAAAAAAAATCATCAAATTTGGTAAAAAAAGAAAATTTGGAATAAGATGGGAACTTTGAAAAGGATTTTCATCGTATCAAATTAAATATTTTATTTAAATTTAAAATCAAATTAAATGAAAAAAATAGTGAAAGATTAGACATGGTGTTACAGAGTGCACACTCTAACCAACTATTTTAATTCATCAGTAGGTAATGAGTCATTTTCCAAAGTCTTCCCCCATTTTCCAGTCTTCCCTCATTTGTCTTTGCACAATTGTTATGAAACCTTTATTCTGATATACATCTCAACTTGGGTCATTTAGTTCTTGGCAAAACACTATTTGCAATTTTGAGAGCTTTCCTTGAATTAAATCCAGATATCAAGTCAACATGGCATCGTTTCTACCATTTGTGCTTCAGAATCTCAACTCCTTGATCCAAAAGGAGGTGGGCTTGCTTTGGGGTGTTGACAAGGAGATGAAAAAGCTTTCAAGCACTCTCACCACCATCCAGGCTGTCCTGGAAGATGCAGAACAAAAACAATTCCAAGACAAAGCAATACAAAATTGGTTGAGAAAACTCAATGATGCAGCCCATGAAGTAGAAGACATCTTGGATGACTGCACAACCGAAGCCCTCCAATACGAATCAAAAAGGCTGAGTTCTAGTTCTCTAAAGAAGGTAATAAGCACTTCCTTATTGACTTATCCTGTTGAGAACATTCTGTTCCGTCACAAGATAGGGAATAGGATGAAAGATACCATAGAGAACTTAAATGCAATTGCTGAAGAGCGGATGAAGTTTCATTTACGTGAGGTGGTTGTGGAGAAGCGAGTTGAATTGGCTGACAGACGTGAAACCAGCTCTGCTCTAACTCAACCACAACTGTATGGAAGAGAAGAAGATAAAGAAAAAATTGTCAAAATGTTGGTTGAGAATATATGTGATTGTCAGGATGTTTCTGTCTACCCTATAATTGGCATGGGGGGGCTAGGAAAGACCACGCTTGCCCAAATGGTCTTCAACGATGAGAGGGTAGAGTGCCACTTTGAGCTTAAAATTTGGGTTTATGTTTCTCAGGATTTTGATGTGAAAAGGGTGATAAAAGCAATAATCGAATCCGTATCTGAGAGAACCTGTGAAGCCTCAAACCTAGATTCTTTGCAGAAAAAGCTTCGAGAGATGCTAAATGGGAAAAGATATTTGCTTGTATTAGATGATGTGTGGGACGAAGATCAAGACAACTGGGATGGGCTAAAGTATTTCCTAGCATGTGGATCAAAAGGTGCTTCCATTATCGTTACTACTCGTGTTGCAAAGGTGGCATCAATCATGGGAACTGTTCCAGCACATCACTTGTCATTTTTATCTGAAGAAGATTGCTGGTTGTTGTTCAAACAACGGGCATTTGGACAAGGGAATGAAGAGCATCCAAACCTTGTGGCCATTGGGAAGGAGATAGTGAAGAAGTGTGGGGGTGTGCCTTTAGCTGCGAAGGCCCTTGGAGGGCTAATGCGCTTCAAAAGTGAGGAAACAGATTGGCATTCTGTTCAAGAAAGTGAAATTTGGAACTTACCCCAAGACAAAAATTCCATCTTGCCTCTCTTAAGATTAAGTTACTATAACCTTTCATTGGAATTGAGACGGTGTTTTGCTTACTGTGCCATTTTTCTAAAAGGTTCTGAAATTGAAAAGGAAAAACTTATTCATCTTTGGATGGCTAATGGCTTTATTTCATCCAACGGAAAATCAGAGTTAGAAGACATTGGTAATGGTATATGGAATGAGTTATATTGGAGATCCTTTTTCCAAGATGTGGACAAAAATTCATCTGGCGGGCATTATTTTCAAAATTCATGATCTTATGCACGATCTTGCCCAATCTGTTATGGAAGATGAATGTCATATGATGGAGGCTGAAAGCTCAAATAATATATCAGCGCAAAGAATTCATCATGTTACGCTGGTTGCTGACTATATGCACGCAGGTGTCTTTCCTAAAGCATTATATAGAGTTGAATCCTTACGTACAATTCTTCAACAAATTAGACAGCCAAACACTTACTCTGGTAGTTCTGTTTCTTTTTCTTGTGACTTCACAAATTTTGGTTCGTTACGAGTGTTCGATGCATTGGGCACCAACATGGGGCAGCTGTCATCTTCAATTGGTAAGTTAAAACATCTGACGTACTTGAACCTTTCTAAAACTCTCATTCGTACACTACCAAAGTCAATTTGTAGCCTTCACAATTTGCAGACTTTAAATCTGAATGGGTGTTATAATCTTCAGAGGCTGCCCAAGAACATGAAATCCCTAAGAAACCTCCGACATCTTTATTTTAAAGATTGTGGAAAAATACAGGACATGCCTCCAAAGCTTGGGCATTTAACTCTCCTGAGGACATTAAGTTTATTTATCGTGGGTAAGAGTAGAGGTCATCGGGTAGTTGAATTGCAATGCTTAGATCTTGGAGGAGAACTGTATATCCGTCACCTTGAGAGAGTGAGAAACTCAACGGATGCCAAAGAAGCCAATTTGGTCGGAAAACAGAACCTCCGAATCTTGAGGTTATCATGGGTATATAACAGTGAATCAGAATCGCAAGCAAATGTTGAACAACTACTTGAATCCCTGGAACCTCACCCAAATGTTGAAGAGTTGTTCATAGACGATTACAGAGGTGCCCACTTCCCACCTTGGATGGGGGATTCAATTTTTAAAAACATAGTTTCTATTGAGCTACGTAGCTGCAGAAACTGTTTAGTACTTCCAGCGTTTGGACAGTTGCCTTCCCTGCGAAAGCTTTTTATTTTCGAAATGGATTATGTGGAGTACATTGACAATTACTTCCCTGGCGGAAGCCCAGTTAGAGGATTTCCGGCTTTGGAAGTACTTATTATTTATGAGTTGCCGAATTTGGTAGGGTTGTCAAGGGACGAAGGAAGAGAGCTACTCCCTTGTCTTCAAGAGATATACATCCACGATTGCCCAAAATTGACCTTTCCGTGTCTTTCATCACCAAAACTCTTGAATGTCTGGAGTACCAGCAACGTGTTACTAAGTTCAATCTCAAATCTTAAGAATCTGACTACCCTTTTAGTTGATGGCGGGGACATGATTTCTTTTCCAGAAGAGATGTTGCAAAACCTTGCTCTTGAATCTCTAGAAATTGGAAGCTTTAGCCAACTTAGAGTGCTACCTACAAACTTGGAAAGCCTTGTATCTTTGAAGTCATTGCGTATCAGCCGTTGTCATGAGATTGAGTCTTTGCCAGATCATGCGCTACAGAGCCTAAAGTCTCTCCAACGTCTGACGATTAGCCAGTGCAATAATTTGAGTTCTTTATCTGAGAGTTTGGGACACCTCACTGCCTTGGAGGACTTGCGTGTTGAGGACTGTCCCAAGCTAGTGACTTTGCCAGACAGCATTAAACATCTTGTCTCTCTTCAATACCTATATATTTTGGATAGTGAGTTGAAGACTTTGCCTAAAGCATTGAAACATGTCCCTGCACTTCAATCTCTATCTATTTCTGGGTATAAAGAGCTCACATCACTGCCTGAATGGTTGGGAAACCTTACGTCACTTCAATCGTTGAGCATTGTTGACTGTCCCAAGATTCCATCACTTCCACATGGCTTTCAAAGGCTAACCAACCTCCAAACTTTGAACATTGATAGATCCAGATCCAGTCCTGAATTGTTAAGGCGATGTCAAAAGGAAAAGGGGGAGGATTGGTATAAGATAGCACATATTCCAAAAATCAATCTGTAAGTGCTTTTTTTTTTTTTGTGAAGATTTGTAAATGTTTGAGTTATTCATAAAGAACAATTGCATTACTTTAAAAGGTCATATTATTGTTCGGTAAGTATTATATGTTTGTATACTCACCAAAACAGGGCTTAGTTCACTAGTCTGCAACAAATAAAACAAGAAAGTCGATCTAATCTGATCGAAATCCGAACTCGATCTGATCTGATCTCTCTCGCATGTTGTTAGATCTGCTGATTAACAAGGTTTCAAGCAAGTCGTTTTTATTTTGTTTTTCATTAACAAGTGTTAATCGGTGTTTGATTTCTTTGTAGATGGGAATTTTAGAGATCGGTTACATGAACTTGTAAAGGAAGAGATAGAGAAGAAGGATTCGAGTACGGAGGAGTGGAAGATCGTGATGGAGAGAAGCTTCAATCGCATGGACAATGAGGTGATTGCATGGAACGACAGCGTTCTGCGCCGATTGTCGATGCGAGCTCCAAACGCCGGAGTGCAACACAGTTGTATCAACGGCGGTTGTCGCAGGCGTGACTCCCGAAAAGATCATCACCGCCATCGCATAGGAGCACCACCGTAGATCCACCATTGGAGCATTACTCCGGGTATGTCCTCTGTATTTCGCCCTCTCTCTGTCTTCTTCCATTCGCATACCTTCACACAAACTCAGCCCCAAATCGACCCACCCACCGCCATTATGTTTAATACAGATTCCTCCTCCACAGTCAATAACCACCATCAGCCCCCTTTTCTCTTTTACCCTCGCTACCCCTCTCTCTCTCTCTCTCTCTCTCTATATATATATATATATATAGCTACTAGCGGTTGGGCACACACGATGTGTGTGCAAATTAAATGAAGAGGAATAAAAGAAAATAATAATGAAATTAATATTATAATGTGTACTTAGCTTAAGTGGTATGATGTGTTCACTTTATAATAGTATAGATAGATATAATTATTATATGAATTTGGCTATGGTAAGAGTATGCGGATAACCTGTTCGATGAAATTCCAAAATGGGTTTCGAATTAGAGAAATCATGATAGTCTGTTGGACGAACTGGGTTTGGACTGATTGTCTTTTGATCATATAAAAAGATGTTGGAAATAAGAAGAATTCAAGGAATGTTACTCTATATAAGTGGTATGAGTTTATTGCTTTATAGTTCTGTTTGGCTTAGAGTGGACAAATTAGGTGGATATAAATCATACTCATATTGCTGGTTATTTTTTAGGTTTTCTTTGAGCTTCTATTAGTTGTTAGAAAAAGAGTACGAGACAGATGTAGAATTTTTCTTTGAATTTGACTTACTGTACATGTGTGAGTTTTGTAATGGTTGTGATTGAGGTGTTCTGTTGGTTGTGGAACTTGGGGGACATACAGTTATATTGTGGGGGTGTGAGATCATCAGTGCTGATCATCAGTGTTATTGTTTAATATTATTCAATATTGATTTGTAAATCTGGTGTTGTTTGTTTTTGTTCATGTAACCAATCTCTGTGAATCTGCTTTATAACTGCAAGCATTAGTTCCAATTCATTCCAGAGAACTTAACCTATATCCCAAGTTCCTAACTTCAATATGTCTTGCTAACAAGTGTGCACACCAAAGAGGAAAAAAAGAAGCTCCTTCTATTTCTTTCTTTTCCCTTTCTCTCCCCAAAGCACTCCTCAAATCCTTTATCCAAGCACAGCCCTAATGTTTTGATCCTTGGCAGAGTCATTGAGCGATTACTTTTTTTCCCCATTTATTATGACTTGTAGGTTCCATTTTGCCCAATGGTTGGATCAGAAGTGTATTCTTCAGAAGTGAAGAAAACTGAGGTTTTAATGGAAAATTTCCGTCGTGCAATTGGTCTACGCATCAAGGAAAATAAGGAAGTTTATGAAGGAGAGGCAAGTTACCCCTATCTATTTTTATCAATCATAGTTTATTTTGTCCAATGATCTTGTGACTTTTTGCATATTATTGTCCTTATGGTTTTGGTTCCACTTCCTGATGTGTTTTGGCAAAAGACCTCTGGTTTATTTTTAGTAATGATGCTCAATTCCTAACTGATGCAGCAGAGGATGGACTTGTATCAAATCAGACAGAAATTTAAAGTGGTATCTGAATTTTTACTTTGATTGAAGGAAATTCAATCATTCTCATTCTGAAATTTCAAGTGGTATCTGAATTTTTACTTTGACATAGACAAAGAAATTTAGGTCAACACTTTGAAGATGGAATGTTGAGTAATCTAAAATTTACGAATGTTACAAGCAAAACTAGTTCAGGCTATAAACCACCACACTTTCAAGCACAATCCCATATAATTAGGATTATTGTAAGGTTGGATGGACTTTATCTCAATTTGTTTTGATATATCATTAAAAACTCAAATGGACCTGCTGAATGTGAAATAGGAGAACACCAAATATGTTTATAGATGGAGTCTTAAAATTATCTGATTTGTTGAGTTTGAGAGGTTTTCCCCTCCCAAGGCTAGGTTTTTGGTTCTGGTGAAATTGCTTTCATGGTGTTTCTCTGGAAGATCTAGGATCTTGTGTAGATTATGATATAGACTTGTTTGAAAGTTTATTATAAGCCCTTCTTCAAGCTTTCCACCAAACAACCATTCAGCATTGGCAGCATAAACTGATCTAATTAGCATGTAAGGTTACACTTAGCGTACCAGCTTGGAATTTTGAAATCTAATGTAAATAACTAGAGAAGGATGGACGAACATGAAATTTAACTCTCTCTCTCTCTCTCTCTCTCACTCTCAATAGGTGCCAGAGAAGCTCTAACTGTCAAATGTGTTGGCAATCCATTAGCCTGAAGGATCCTTCCAGGTTCATTCTGGCTTCTCTCTATAGTAATTTTAATTTTAATTTTATATTTGCCATCACTTTCTTATTGTATATTCTTGCTGTTAGTTTCTTAATATAATATCCTATTTTCTTTGTTGTGGCAGTCAGGAATTGCTTGAAGCTGTGGAACGGGAGAGGAGCTTTAGGTTTAATCCTTCAAGGAATTCCACTATATTCCATCATCCCACCCTTGGGGGTTTCGAATTACAGCATGTAGGTTATCTATCAATACTAAGTGGAATTCATAATTTGGTTGATCAACGTTTGAACGCTTAGTTTAACTATTTTTTATTATTATTTTTTTTTTCTCTTCTGACACAGTTACCAGTTGGTGCAAATGATGCTGAGCTTGAAGAGCGTATTATCCAGCACTTGGCTGCTGCTGCTGCAATGGGAAGGGCCCACCACCACATTGCTCGGAGGGATGGCCCCGGGAGTCAGTCATCTGTTCATGGTCGCCCACAGTTCGTGGTGTTTTCCTCTCATCCTAATTTGCCTCCTGCTTATTTGGCATCTGTAGGAGGGGAATCTGAGCCAGCTACTATTACTGCAGCTAGTCTGTTCAACTTGCTGGTGGGGATGAACCACAACAGCTTCGACACCAGTTCCATTCTGTTCAAACTGATCAATTTTCCTCCTCATCCTTTGGATCTACTATGATACCGGGAAATCGACAAGGAATATCTGTTCATAATCGGTAGTGATAATTTGCTGAATTTGTTGTTTTATTATTTACTATATTCTCATTATTTTGTCAATAAGTTTTCTGAAGCATTTCTGAACAAGTTTTTTGAACCAGAGTCTAAGTGTGCCGCTTTTTTACTTTTACAGAGGTCTGGTCCACAAAAGATGATTGTTTCGGGGGGAATGGTGAAGTTCAACCTTTGACTTTTGCCAAAGGACTTACCAGAAACTGGATCCAAAGCAACTAAATGGAGAAAGGAGGTTTTATCTCACTGGCCTTGAAGCAGTTGGGTCAGGGCCTAGTTGAGTCATCAATTAGTAAGTTCTACTGCATTACTAATTATTATAGCCCTATTTCCTTCACATAAAGGTGTAAATAATATTACTTCCTTATTTTGTTAATCTGTGTTGCATTGTAATATATCATTTGGGAGGGTTTTTTTTTATTATTTATTTTTATATCATACTGTGACTTCGGTTGGATACATTGGCCTGTGCACAAGTCATGCTTGGTTCAAAATTTGTGTTTCATCTAGTTCACAATGACTTTGTGTATATTTTCTCTGGGTCAATAAATAAGATCTTGTTGCCTATTCATCTTGTTTCAGTTATGCTTCATTACTACGTGTTGCAATTTTATTATTTCTTGGTGGTTCATGAAGATTGTGAATTAGGATTTTAATTGTTCTGATCTATTATTTGCTTCAAATTTTATGCATCAGGTTTGCAATTACGGCCCGCCTCCGTCAATTGAAAATAGTATTAAGGTTGGTGCAATATTGTATATCTTTTACATTTGCACATATGGCATGTTGCAGATGCATACATGTTAGAACATTAAAAGAAAAGGAAAAAGATTTTAGGATCACTTTATTTTATGTACAGAGAATTTTAATGTTGACTTTTGAATTTTGTTTACAAGCCATTTATTATTTATGATTATAATTTGCTAACTTTTTATTTTCTTAATTTTTTGGGGGGGGTTAGTTTCTTTATTATTTTTTTCTTATTACCGATTCTAGTGTTTTTTTGTAGGAGCATTGGCCAGCTTGTTCCTTGAAATAGGCATTGGCCCATGAATGAGTTATCCAATGTTTTGATGGTTTTTTATTGACATTTTTTTGGGGTAATGGTTTGTGGTTGATATAGACAAGTAGGAAATGTTTCAATTTTTCTTCTATTGTTTGTCAAATGTAAAAGTGTAGCCTTCTGGAAGAGGAATTAAAATTGTTTGGTTTATTTTTAGTTTATGTGCTTGTGTATAGAATCCTTGACTTTCAGATTTGATTTTATTTAGCTAATAGTGCAATTTGAAACTTGAATCCTTATTTTGCATTTTTTTTTTAGAAGCTTTATTTTGCAGATTTAATGCAATTGAAATTATACCTTTTCTTTTTATATAAATAGCAGTGCTATATATATATATATATATTTTTTTTTTTTTTTAAAAAAAGGAGAAAAGATGGCCTTTTTTTTTAAATCGTCAGTAAATATATATATTTTTTTAAAAAAGAGAAAATATGGCTTTTTTTTCAAAACGTCAGTAAAAGTCGTCATATGACGTCAGCGTTTAACTATATGACGGTTTCACATAACGGAATGTATGAAAATTTATGACGTTTTAAAAAACACCGGTTAAAGTCATTAGCAACGTTTTACAAATGTTGTATACCTAAGACGGCGGTTGTATGTGCGACGAAAGTTATATCTTTAGCCTTTAACAGCATTTTGAAGACTTATAGTGGCATTTTTTAAACGTTGCTAATTATGAAAATTCCTGCAGTGTAGTCTGCAACAGATTGATTAACCTCATGGGCTATGAACTCATAAACATGTAAAACACTCTTGCTTCAAGTTTTAAACCTTTCACTAAATATTTGATTCATATTTCTAGAACTCTACATAATTCTGTATATTATATGATCAAAGATTTTGAAATTAGGTTTGTAATTTTTTCTCCTTGGATAAACTATTGGACTGATTCATCTCACTTGGACTAAGATTCTAAAGCTAAGAGTTGCAATCATTCACCATGAAATGCTTATGGATTAGCTATACCTCCTATAGTACAGACTAGAGAAAAAGATGATTAGTTTTGAAATGTTCCATATGATACATGATTAGGAGTTCAACTTTCGCTGTCATTTATTGCTATTGGTGGAACAATCCATGTTAGCTGAACTTCTTTTAGCTGTCATTGTTGCTGATTATTTGTTTTCATTCTAGTACTTCAAAGATCTGCTGTCAAATAATGGAAAGGCTTGTACTAAATAAATTGTCAAATTTGAAATGCATCAAAACAGAAAGTGAGCACTGCCATTGGCACTGTGTAACAATTGACATTATTGAAGTGACAGAAAGTTGTTGGATATTCATAATAATAGTTAGGGTAAATTACAATGATCTCTCTTGAGATTTGGATGAAATACAGTAAGCTCCCTTGAGGTTTAGTTTTAAATTACAGTGACCTCCCCTAAGGTTTAATCAAATTGTAGAAACCTCTCCTAAGATTTTTGAAATGATAGAAACCAACCTCCCTTAAGGTTTAGTTTTTTATTATAGATTCCCTCGTTTGTTACTTTATTGTTAAAAAAAAAAAAAATTTGTTGACAATATCAAATAAGTTAATTACATTTCTAATTTTACTCTTAAAATTGTGCCTAATTACAAAGAAATAAAAAAATTACAAGTTTTATTTTCTCTTTTTGTTATGCCCGCAATTACTATTGATTCTTATGCTTCCTTTATCCAAAATCCACATGTTGCCAAGTATATATCCCGCATATCATGATAGGATTATTGTAACTATTTACTTAATCTGTTAATGGTTTGAATGGAAGGAAATCAGAACTAATTCATGAAAAATTCTACAAGTATGTGGTTTAGTTTCACACTTGTGCATCCATTTCAATATGATTGACTACTTCTTTAGCTTTTATTGCTCTCATTGCCTCTCATAGTTTCATCAATAGTGCATAAATACCGATTTTTCAAGAACAACATAGTTACTAAACGGTAACCATGTTGTGATCAGCATGTCAAACCTTCAGCTAATTCATATACTAGCAGCACAAATTGATGTAACAAATTATTTGAAGAAGATAAATCATTTGCTTTTTTCAGCGTGATTATATTTGAACAACATTAACCATTTATTGTTTTGAACCTGATATGTCTAAGATTGTCTATTCAAATGGGTTTTGCTTTAAAATGGCCTTAGAAGCATAAAATGCCTAAAGATTACTTCGTGCTGATTGTATGAATTTGTGGTTGCCTATGACACGGATGAAATTAACGAGATTGACCGCATTGAGTCCTCCATGATTCAGAGATTGTATGTTTCTTTCTTTATTTATTTCTGTTCATCTTTATGGATTTGTGCTTTCTTTTTGGTGTTGTTGAAGGTTATTTGACTAGTTTTAAAGCATACAATATATGTTTGTTTTTATGATAGCAGGTGCTGCTAGGCTTTCGGGTCACAATGACAGTATCATGATAGCTGCAAGTTTTCAAGTGGTTGTAGCATTGGATACATTGCTGGCGGGGAATATATTGGGCTGCTTATTATAGGTCTGAGGTTGGGTAACTGAAGGTGGTTTCATTCAGCTGTTCTGTTCTCAGACTCCCTTTGTGTAAGATTAAATGCAGGTCTTATTGGGCTATGTGTAATAATATTACTGTGTGATGGACACTGGGTGCGCTAGCCTGCTGAGGTTAGAGGGTTAGAGCCTCCTATCATGCCCACTATTTTTTTGAGTGATGATTTGAAGTTCAATTTCTGTTATAATTTTATATTCTTTCACTAGTGTTATGTAGTATGTATTTTGTGTTGATCATTGGAGTTTACTCTTGAATTTTAATTCTGAGGAATACCTAGCTAGATGTTATGATGAAGATAGATGATATTAGTGCGTTAGTTAAAAACTAATAATTTTGGTATGAATTTTAGCGGAGCTCCTGTGTTAACATTAAGAATGTGCAAACCACTCCATCAGCGGATCAAGTTAAAATGCTACAAAACTTATCTATTCCGAGAACGTAAATAAATCCAGTAAAGTGAAAAGCATTGCAACGATACTATGAGGACCTGATCCACAACCTCGGTTTAATAATCAATTAATTAGAAGAGCCTAAAAACAGACACAATTGATCAATGAAATGAATTGTTTGCAAATTATGATGAAGAAATATTTGCAAACTTGCCATATTTTTCTGAATGACACTTGATAATGGAGATATAAGCTAATTTTAAGAAATTGATCCCTTTTTGGGGATGGACTAAAGATGGTAACCATCACTACTATAGCCATTCGAACTTTAGCTCTTTCTGTGTCAACATAATAAATTTATGAGATCGCCTTCAATTTAACGATCTGAATATAAATACACAAAGTCTGGACCTTGATTTAATCAAATTCATGTATTAAATTGCATTGCAGATTTGGTAGATTACTCGCATCACATTCATCATCAATTTAATCAATCAATCCTGTGGTCTGAGAGGGAGAGGTTCCTGATTGTTGGGACAGACCTGCTCATGTACACTATGTTTGGGAACTTAGGAGAGAAAGTAAAAGAAAGGATTACTTAAGTTATAAGATAAGAGAAAAGAAGAGAAAAGAAAAAAAAGGATTGTGATTTTTCTCTTTCTTGTTTAGATAAGTAAGAAAAAAAAAAGAAAAGAAATGATTATAATTTTTCTCCTTCTTGTTTAGTTAGATTTTATAAGAGAAAAGAAAAGAAATTATTTTATGTTATATTATCAAAATAACCTTTTTATATTTTTAATTATTTTATTTCTTTTATTTTTATAAGGACAAAATTGGTATTATGAAAATATTAATTTCTTTTCTCTCCCAATCTCTCCACTTTTGGGAAGATTGAAAATGAGGGTTATAAGATAAATGAGTTTCTTTTTGTTTCTCTTAATTTCTCCCCATTTCTCTCCACTTAAGTTATCCAAACAAGTAAGATAAATACATATCTTTCCATTTCTTTTCTTCTCTCTAAATCACTTGATCCAAACATAGCGGTAGGTCCATATATGGGTCGAAATTTTGTCAAAACCAAGTCAACTCCTTTATTTTTTCATGTTATCTTAGAACTCATTTGGGAAGTGATTTTTTTTTCAGTAATTTTTGATGAAAATATGAGAAAAAAATTAATACATTTGGAAAAGATTGTTTGAATTCTTATATATTAAAAAAAAATGTGAAAAGTAAACGAGAAGATATCTTTTTTACATTTTTGTCTTAGTTGAATTTTTAAAAAAAAATTGTAATAATTTTTTGACTAAAATATTTTATTCCCAAATGGATCCTTATTGTTTCACTTTGGGTTGTATAGTGCTAAGGTAGTGATAATTTGCTGAATTTGTTGTTTTATTATTTACTATATCCTCATTATTTTGTCAATAAGTTTTTTGAAGCATTTCTGAACAAGTTTTCTGAACCAGAGTCTAAGTGTTCTGTTTTTTTACTTTTACAGAGGTCTGGTCCACAAAAGATGATTGTTTCGGGTGGAACGGTAAAGTTCAACCTTCGACTTTTGCCAAAGGACTTACCAGAAACGGGATCCAAAGCAACTAAATGCAGAAGGGAGGTTTTATCTCACTGGGCTTAAGCAGTTGGGTCAGTGCCTAGTTGAGTCATCAATTAGTAAGTTCTACTGCATTACTAATTATTATAGCCCTATTTCCTTCACATAAAGGTGTAAATCATTTTGCCCAATGGTTGGATCAGAAGTGTATTCTTCAGAAGTGAAGAAAACTGAGGTTTTAATGGAAAATTTCTGTCGTGCAATTGGTCTGCGCATCAAGGAAAATAAGCAAGTTGCTACTATCTATTTTTATCAATCATAGTTTATTTTGTCCAAGGATCTTGTGACTTTTTGCATATTATTGTCCTTATCGTTTTGGTTCCACTTCTTGATGTGCTTTGGTTGTATTATTTTCTAAGTGACTGAAGTTTATGTAGGTACTATGGAATGATTATATGTTTATTTCAATTGTAATGGATATGATAGCTATTGAAATTTTGGTTATCGAAATGGGCTTGCTTTAGAATTGTTAGGTTCAGCCCAAGGGTGTGACTATGACTTTATCTATGCTAGTGTAGTTGGATCTTTATCTGTTGTCAGAGTTGGTAGAAAAAGCCTGGGCCAAGCAACTTTAGCCCCATGAGTACAATTCAGGTTTTTAATATTTTGTTTTTGTAAACTTGAGTGTAGAGTTTTGGATTTGTAAACTTCTTTCAATAGAAAATGTAATTGAGTTATGCTGTTTGTGCATATAAG